CAAAGCTTTTAAGAATAACTTGTCATTTTAGGGTTTAGGGTCAGAGATATTTTTAAGAAAACAAGATCTAGGTCCCTAACATTGATGTCTTTGCTTCCACAAGAACCTCACGGATTATCTGCATAATTTGCAACTTCATGGATGCAAATTTAGGTTTGTAATTTTAACTTAAAAATTAAATATTGGTGTTTCAGGTAGGGTATTGGTGTTTCAGGTGGGGTTGAGATCTCTTACTCAAAGCACTCAAAATTGTCTACTCAAAGCTTTACGAGGATCCTCCATCATCCAAGTTATGTTGTTTGATTTCTCTTTTTCGTGTCTAAGCGGTGTAGGAGAGTACCTATCAAAAGTTCTCCTAAGCTCAAGTTAGTGATTTTGTGTAATAATTTTTTTAATAAAGATTAGTAATTAGAATTAATTACCTAATCCCGCCATATATATTTATAAATATTATATTGAGCTTATCATTAGGTCTGATCCATTTATTACTAATGATTATTATTTTCATTAACTGTCCATTAATAGTTATTATTGTTCAGATTAATTTTCAGACTGGTTCATCATTTTCTCACTGAATGATCAATTGTTCAGTCTTTGACTGACCGGGTGATCCTACAGTAAAGTTGGTTTTAAAATCGGGTTTGTATTACTATCCATGATTAAACAAGTTTTACCTATGAAAGTTGTGATTACAGTCAAAACGACAATCATCCACATCCTATGTAAAAGAAGTTCAATATAGTCTAACATATTAGGTTTATAGATTCCTATTGTTAGAATTACATTGAGCTTTTTCCAACAAAATGTTCTAACAATGAAGGTGATTAAGAATTCTGAGAAAAAAATATAACTCAGGATTAGTGATTAAGAACACGTTAGGAATTGTTGAAGGTAGACCCTCAGCACCATTTAATACATTTTGCATTCATTGAATTTGGAAAGAAAACCAAGCACCCATTTTTTTGGGGGATAGATTTTGAATTTTTTGATTAAAAAGTTGGAAACCTTCATTTTGAGTAGTTTTAGTCTATTAAGACTTTTAGTTGAATAAAACTATGAGCTTATTAAATATATAATAAATTTGAAATTTAGTTTTATAGATATGATAATTTAAAACATTCTAAAAAAAACTTAATACTTTATTGGATGGATGTCAATTTAACCCATGATTCATGGGTGAGTCTAATCCATCCTTGAAAAAGTTCTTTTTTAGAAAGTCCCATCAAGTAGAAGGTAAAAAAGACGTGAAACTTTTAATTAACTCTTTAAAATAAAATCATTTAAGTACACATATAAAAATATATATTTTATTAAATAGTCTAATATGTTCTAATTTTATTATATTTAAATCAATATTTTATATCATATTTATTATTATGTTATTAAATAAAATATATAATATATAATTTGATACAGTTATTGACTATAATCTATTTATTAATTTTATAAATTTTAAAAAAATAAAACTTATAACATTTAATAAAGGAGTACCTATATTGTAATAAAGTCTCAAAGATAACTAAGAAATATGTAGTCTAACCAAAATGTAAAAATATTTGATTAATATTAATAAAACTCACTATTTTTTTTATAATTATTATATATATATATATATATATATATATATATATATATTAAAGAGAATAAATAATTGGTAGAATTTAAGTATAAATTTAAGTCATACATTAAAAAAAAAATAACATATAATAAAAAAAATCCATAAACTTATTATTGACAAATTCATTATTTTAAACTTTCATATTGAGATGTTGTATTTAGTTTTAAGTTAGATCTAGATGAATTTTTTTATAACAAAATTAAATGACTATCTTATATACTTTAGAAATATGTTTAGCCCGTCAAAGAAAATTAAATATGTTTAATGAGTCAAGGATTTCAACATCATATCTTAGTGCATAATTTTCCTATATAAACAAGCAACCAAGTTTATTGAAACTTACAAAGTCTATGTTAATTTGATTAAAATGATTGTATATAGTTCTTTGACAAATTAAAACTATTTAGATTTGCAACAAATTAGAAGTTAATTGTATTTTTTCTTGTATTCAAAATAAATATTTTTTCTAAAAAGAAGGCCCATGGGTTGGCCCTAACCCACAAGGCTATTTTGGTCCCATAGACTTTTTCAATGAGAGGCTTTTGACCCTATGAATTTTTTTTGCCCCAACCCATGTGGGTCAAGGCCAAACCATGTGATGGGGCCACATTAACAAGTCTACTTGTTGGATAGTCTAAGCCAAGGTTGACCATCCAATAAGTCACAAACCAGGCGATCATACGGTACATTGGTTTACGTAGATGACATGATTATTGTAAAAAATGGTTAAACAAAGAAATTGAATTTAAAGGAAAATTTGAGGCCCAATTTGAAATGAAAGACTTGAAAAAAATTTGAATACTTCCTTATATAAAAGGTTTTTATTGACAAAAGGAGATTTCTCCTAAAGAAAATATGAACTTTATCTCTTTAAATAAACATGTAAGTTGGGATGTAGAACCTCAACTCTCAGAGTTGAAGTGAAGAAAGCTTTTCAATAGGAAAAAACCAAATATTAGAGATTGGTATGAAAACTTATTTAATTATCACATACATAGGCAGACATTGCTTATGAAATTAGTGTCCAATTTATGCATAATCTTAAAGAAAACCACATGTAAGCAGCTGACAATATTCTTCTGTACTTGAAATCAAACCCAAGAAAAGAGTTATTCTTCAGGAAAAAAAAAGACATTTTGGCCATGATGACATATCAATGTAGACTATGCATGTTATATTAGTAACAAAAAAAAATCTACATTTAGAGAAAACCTAGTAACCTAAAAAAAACAAAAAGTGGGATAAAGTATTTTGGCTCTAATATAGAAATAGAATTTTAAGTCCTTTCTTAAGTTGTGGTTAAGGACTTTAGATGAAGATGATATTTGATGACCTTAAAATAAAAGTTGACATCTTCATTAGTGTTAGGAAGAGATACGACAACAGTTTTTTCGAAAATCGATAACAATTCTAAAATTGAGGCATATTAAGACAAGATAAAAAATGAACATTTTTTTACCTCGATTATACTCGACCTGATATAACATTTGGTATAAATTTGTCAACCAAGATATAGTTTTCACCTACAAAAGAAGTCATTAAACTAGAGTAAAACATATACTTCGTTACCTTAAAGGTAAAATGAATATCAACTTATTTTATCCAAATTATTCAAAATCAGATTTAATTGGTTATGCAGGTGTAAGTTATTTATCAAATCCTCAAAGTGGTTGATCACAAACAGAATATTTGTTCAAATGTGGTGGTACAACAATTTCATGGCGATCTATGAAACAAACTATACCAGCAACATCACCATATCGTGTAGAATCTTTGCACTACATGTGGTAAGTCATGAATGTGTTTGGTTAAGGTCTATAATTCAACATATGCAACAAACTTGTGGTCTATCCTAAGGAAAATGGACTCAACAGCCAAATATGAAGACAATAATGCATTGTTCAATTGAAAAGATTGTATAAAAATCCAAAAGATTTGTCAAGAAGAACTTTTGAGCAATTGATTTATAAGATTGAACTTTGTCGTCTTAATGATACATGTTTACACGAGAAAGAGAAATAAAAATGTAATTAACTATATTATATTGAAAAATAAAGAATGATGTACTCTTTTTTTCTTTCAGTTTTTATCCCAAAGGATTTTTCCTAGTAAGGTTTTAAGAAATACATTATCTTAATGAACACATAAGAAGAATGTGTTATGAATTAATGGTTGTCCATTGATTTCCTGCATTTACTCATATGATGGATTGATTTGCTATAATTACTCATATGAATAATTACTCTTTATGATATTTAAACATTTGTATTAATTATTTGATTTGTATAATTTTTTTGATTACTTTTTGTATTTATGAATAAAAAATTTCCTATTAGTAATAATACAGACGAAATTAGTCTTTATTATCTTTTATGCTCTCTTCTTTCTATTTCATCTTCAGCTTTTACGTTGAAATACGTTTTAAATCTTATGATGATTTGTAATCGAGTTTCTATTAAAAGAATTTATTATATTAAGTACTTAATATTTTTTTTATAATTTTGTTTAGGTGTATGTCATTCGGTCTTGTTATTAATAAAATGACTGTGATGATCACTTTGCATTGTCATCATTGATGCGTTTATTTTTTTTTTTAATATTTAGTTTTAAAATACAAAAATGATGTTGTTTTTAGTAAAGGGTATTAGGTTCCCACATCTTTTTTCTATGTCCTTTTAGTGTTGTCCAAATTCTGTCTTGTGCTTAATTGACTATCGCAACTTTTTCTTTTCCATCAAACACCATCTAATTTACACCTTTTTTTCTCACTTAGGCCATGTTCTTTTGAGTGGATTTGAGAGGATGGATTTGAGGGGATTTGAGAGGATTTGAAGATAATTTTTTTTGTCGTTTATTTGAGTGAATTTGGAGATAAATGAGAGTGAATTTGAAAATAAATTTTGTGAGAATTAGTATAGAATTGTATTGACATGACAAATTAAAAAAAATTATTTCCAACATCAAATCAACGAAAGAAAGCGACAAAACACGATTATCTGTTGGTGTCAGGAGTTGAGGCCAAAGTGTGTTAAGGCACAGCCATTTTAGCTGTACATGTCTTGTTCTTACTCCATTCCACATGTTGTGGTTTGCCATTACAACACATGCAAAAGTAAGATCCACTGAGATTAGCAACAGACAAACATGAATACAGAACATGTAGCCATTTCAAAATTCATTCACCTAAGAAAATGGTCGACGAGGTTAGTGAATCCATTCTTCAATATTTATCATGACAGATGTGTTAACATTTTCTGTTAAGGATTACATAATGTCAATGATAGATCTAAATTGCTTAATTTTGAAAAATTGAACAACCATATTATCGATTAAAATTTTTTACAGACCAAAATTACATTCAAAAGTATCAACCAAATTTCAAACTTTGCTATGAAATTTTGTTCCTACTTTCTTACCACAAATGTTTATATATTCTCAAAGCAATGATTCTGATAAACTTGGATGCTCCAAGTACAATTGCAAACACAGAGGTTCACTACTCATTGATTTGATAGGGGTTATAAGTGGAGGCTGCTGCCACTGTTTCGTGTCAGTTGGGATCCACAACTCTGCTTCTTTGCTTGTACCAGTCTCCGGTAGGGATCGAAAATAAGCAGTAATCTCCCACCTGCAATCTGTTTACAGGAAAGGAAAGAAAAAGTTTAAACGTGTGTTTCAGTTTACACACACCAAAGGAAAAATTTCAGCATGAGCTTTACAAAAGTATCAAAGAAGTCACAAACCACATCCACTTGATTCAAAACTAGCAACCTCTATCTAATATGTGACTATGAACTGAAGTTGATGATAAGATATTGACATAAAAAATGAGCAGATGATTTGGTAAATATGCACACACACAAAGAAAGGAATTGTTTATTTCACAAGAAAAAGAGCACATCATTATGAAGTGAAAAAATAAAAGGCTAAATTGCATTTCTGATCCCTCTTTTATCGTTAATGTCCAATTTTGGCTATCAATAATGTCTTGCAGCAATGAAATCCCATCATTATTTCAAAAAAAGAGTATGTGTGTCTGTTTGTCATCCAATTACCACAAAAGCTAGTGACATGGCCAACATTTACATACTTAGATGACACTTTATTGAGTTTGCGTTTTCATGGATACATTGATAAATCCAATCTATTTAAATTACTAGATAAATCAATATAGATACATTATAGGGTCAGCTTGGTTCAACTTTAAATAAATGTTTTTCCTCTGAAATAAGCAGTTTTTGAAAAAATGACTTATTGAAAAGCTTTTAGATACTTTTAAATAAGTAGAAATCGGTTACAGATTTTAGAATAAGCAAATTAGAGTAATCAGCAGGTACATTAAGGTTCTTAACTCAGTACAATGTTGTTAGATAAGTAGATCATTAGCCGTGTGACTAACTTCTGTTATTAATTGGATTAGAGTTAGACTGATGAAGAACCTGCTTTTCTTAATTAGGAAAATTAAGGGATTTGATAGTTACATAAGTTACTGGGAGACAAAATCATGCTATTCATATCATAGTAGAGAGACCAAATGTGGCATTAAGTCAAAGGGAAATCAAGGAGAAGTCAAAAGGGTCGCAGAACTCTTTGCAGCAAACATAATTACACTCGCATTTACCAGGAGGCAGCCCTTTAGAAAGAGATTTTGAGTTTGACAGTTTTATCAGAAATGATCTGAGAGAGATCTCAAGATCAACCTCTTCCACCTCTGAACCATAAGCTTGGTTTACTGCAAGCTTGAATACAAATTTCTCCAATGGAACATTGTCAGCATTGAAGAAAATAACAGCTACTCTCTCCACCATTCCCTAGCAAATGTAAGGTATAGAAATCAGCATGCCTAAACAAAGCAATTACAAGCAAGCTTGGATGCAACATGATAGTGTGTGTTCGTATAGGATAATGGACCTTAAGTGAAGCATTAACTTATTTAAATCTTCCGAAAAAGAATTAGTCTGCAACACACGTATCACTCGGAGAAATCACTAGTAATTATTTAATGATTCCTCTTGAAAACAATAACTACAAAGGAGTATGTTGTAACTAGACACACACAACACAACATCATCACATATTACATTGTTATACGTTGACATGACATGGCTAGCAACCAATATTTGATAATTCAAATCCAATGGCAGCAAACAACAACTACTTAGAATATAAGGTTGAGTGCATAAAAGAAGAAAACAATTGAAATTACCAAACAAGACCAACCTTTTGGACAAAGGGTAGAAGCCCAGTAACAGTAGCATGTATGTAATATCTAAGCTGAGGATGGCGAGCCCTTTGAATCACCACATTCCTATACCTTCTCCGTTCGAAGGCACCTTTTGCACACACAAACTCAAATAATGAAAACTAATTCCAATTAATTTAGTTTCCAATAACTAGAACAAAAATTCAAAGTGAATTTTACAATCAATCCTTTTTTTTTTCTTCTTGCCACAAACAAAAGGGAAAAAGCGTATGCAATAACCAACTAACCAGAAGGATAAACCCCATTGAGAAAAACAACAGCGGTAATAGCCACCTCCAAAAATTCAACCAAAACCCTAGCTATTTGGCCTGCAAATTTCCACGCAGAACAATGGTAACTCCAGACCTATTATGAAATTGATGAAAAATTAAAACTTTTATTGGTTAATTTCAAACCTTGCGGAGTTTGATTCTGCCTGCGTTCCATCTTCTTCAAATTCAGTTCCCCAACACACTCCAACTGAAGAAAACAAACTAAGCCTTTTCCTATTAGACCATGAAAGTTATGAAAATTACAAATTTACCGCTATATCGACCCGAAATTTGATTCGGATCTCACCAATGCTTAGTGGGTCGGTTTTATGACCCGAATATTCGTCTTCCTTCATCTACACTCTAAAATTCTTCTTGACTGAGTCACTACCCCAACGACGGGATTTTGATTTTCCATTGACAAGGGAAATGGCAGGTGAGATTTTGATAGATTTTGATTTTCTCTCACCACATTTTGTGAGAGAATTAGCATTTGGATTAGGGTTTTGGCTTAATCGTTACGTTGGATTTTGATGTTGGGTTCCAAAAGGGAAAAACAACGAAAAGAAGGGAGGCAGAAGAGGGAGAGCATGCGTGGTGGTTTTGGGCGACATTGGACGGAGCCCTCGAATGCAGTATCACGCTCTTTCACTCGGCAATCAGGTTTCTTTTTTCTCCCCTCATCTTTCCAATTTCCTGTAGTAATTTAATTTAGTTTAATTTGATTTGACTATCTATTTTTTTCAGTTTTTTTTTTTGTTTTCATTTTGTTTCGGAATTCATGAAAGTATTTTTAGTTAGTTGTAAGTTTGCCAGAACGTGGATCATGTTAATGCCTTTTGAATAATTCTTCTGATTTCATGTTTGGATTGGAGAATGGTCTTGATTTATAATGTTTAGGGAGTTGGATCATACATGCCATAATTCTGACGGTTTCTGCAGCATGATTCTTAAATTCAGTGCAGACATTTTCATGTCATGTGTTTTAAGTTTTGTGTAATCAATTGAGAGCTCCTTACCTGGTAGCTTCGGCTATTAGATGTTCTGAGACCCAATTGATGCTCATAATTTCACTTTTTTCTCTGTAATGTAATGTTTGCTTAAGGATGATGTAGTCTTGGGGATTCATTTAACCACAGTGGTTAAGTCGTTATTTGTTATCTGAAACCTCATTGGTTTAGTCATGTATTACAGATATTGTTAAATCTACACATAATAATTTGGAATTTCCATAACTGGGCATAAATGACCTTTCTTTCATATTTAGGAATGAGGATTAGTTATATATTCACACTATTTAGTCATGATTCATGAGTTACTTAAAATGTTTAAACTTTTCAAACACTTATATATGGTATTGCAGGCTTCCCTGGAGGTTGACGTGGTTGCATATGGAGGTATCGTTTCTAATTTCAAGTTTTTTATAATGAATAATTAGAGTTAGATTTAATTATATGCTAAATTTCTAGTGCAGAATGAGTACATTTTATCGTTTAATAACGATTTGTAACAGGTTCAGAGCCCCATACTGCACTTCTTGCCAACCCATCTATTCATTTTCACATAATGGTATCAATGTTGCCTAGATCTAATCTTTTCCGGGCAAGTTATCCTCGTATTTTACTTAATTTGATCTAGAGTGGAACTTTATCAAATTTTCAGAAGCAGTGGTTTACAGCCAATCAACGCTTACCAAAGATACTTCAGCCCATTATGCTTTTGTTGAAGCCGATAGTTCAATTTCTCATGCTTCTTTGGTTCCTTTGTGTAAAAATACCATCTCCTGATGTTTTTATTGTCCAGGTTAGTCTTTTAAGTTTTCTTCCTATTTTTCCATCTTGGTATTTAAGCTTACTTTTTTTGGCTTCCTTGATAGATTCAATACTCCTTGTTCTTACTAAGTTAGACATAATATTGGAAAGCTTATACCTGCAAAATTTGATTGTTGTCTTGGATCATAGCCTTTGTTTGAGAAGCATCCTTATAAGCAAATAAACAGTAAAACTATCTTTGCCAAGTATTTTTTGTTATAGGTCAGTTTGGACTACTAGAGAAATTCTGATGTGCCGAACTTCACTATGCCTCTTTCATATATGATATTGGGAACTCAACACTTTGAAGGATATTTTATTAAATGTGTAATGATTCTGATAGGACCCTGAGGGTAGGAGAAAAGGGAATAAAAACAAAACATAGTTTGTTAGGAGGTGTAGGGGATGTTAGGCGGGGGTTGTTAGTCTGGGTAGTGTCCCTTGGGGTGATAGCTATATAGGGAGGAAGGTGTCTTGAGACAAGCATGTTGCTTTTGTATCTCTGATAGTAGACAGGATTTGTTACATCCTGTGTGAAGGGAGGTTGGTCCCTTGGATGTTTTCGAACATATTCATTGTTTCCAGAATAATAATACAGATTTCCCATTGTGAGTTTGTGTGTGTGTGTGTGTGTCCTGTAACCAAAACCAAAGAATTCTGGGCTTCTTGTCACCAAGAAACCTATCAGATTCATTGATAAACAAAGCAAAATGACCAGAAATGGAGGCAATTTTGATTTTGTAGCTTTTTGCATCACTTATCTCACTCTTGTTTGTGCAGAATCCTCCTTCAGTTCCAACCCTTGTGGCCGTAAAATGGGCTAGCTGGTTGAGAAAATCATCTTTTGTTATAGATTGGCATAATTTTGGGTATACTCTACTTGCACTGTCATTGGGAAGAAATAGTCATTTTGTCTCCTTATATAAATGGTACTACTGTAGCATCTTTTTAATTTTACTCGAGAACTTTTTACTGGTGATATGGCTTTGCTTTTTCAAGGTTGCTGCAAATGTGATTATTTTCTTGGCTCCAATTAGGTTTGAGAAGCATTATGGGAAAATGGCAGATGCATCTCTTTGTGTAACAAAAGCAATGCAGCATGAATTGGCTCAAAACTGGGGAATAAAGTAAGAGAGTCGACTCAAAGTTAAAATATATTATTTAACATAAAATTGCTTCTGTGATCAGCGGAGAAATCTGATGTCTGATGTCTATATCTTAATTCTTCATTTTATAGTGCTACAGTTTTGTATGATCAGCCTCCGGACATCTTTCATGCAGCTTCATTGGAGGAGAGGCATAAGGTAACTCTGGTTATTATTATTTATCAAGAATCCTTAGAGATTTCCATATATAATATAGACAATCTACAGTTGTTTTGCAGATTAAATGAGGACCTGTTTCAGCCTCTTGGTGTCAGAGATTGTGTCAGTAATGGTAAGATTGCTTTTGTAATCTAGGCATATATCAATCGTAGTCGTTAGCACATTTTTTGTTTATATCCTTACTTCTTACAGGAACTTCCTTGATTGCTAGCCGCTGCCAAAACGAGACCCTGTTTACAAATGAGGTTGGTTCAAGCATATATTTCAAGCCAAATCGACCAGCACTTGTTGTAAGCAGTACGAGCTGGTACGTTTATCATAGTATGAATTGCCTCCTTTTCTAACGTGACAAAACCTTGCATTCATGTTCTGATGCTCAGGAGTTTTTGTTTTTTCTTTAGTGAAAACCTGGGTACAAGACAACATTTTATCCGTTTAAAATAGCACTTTCTTTTTTCCTGCGGATTATAAAGTTTGTTAGATGGACCTTCAGTGAGAGAAATGAAGCAAAATAGAAAAATATAAAGCCATGGAAAACCTCCATTGACTAGGATAATTTTGATTTGTACTAGCCAAACTTGAGTGCTTTATTTCTCAGACTTGTGGCACTTTCAGGACACCTGATGAAGATTTTGGTATTCTCTTGGAAGCTGCTGTAATGTATGATAGACGCGTTGCTGCCATATTGGGTGAAGATGATTCAGTAGATGAGGAGGTCGTGTGGAAAGAAATATCTGATGGAAAACAATGTTTATATCCCAGATTGCTATTCATCATAACTGGTATAACTATTGTTTTTCTTTCTGAAGTATTGGAAATCATATGGAATTTTCTGATGTGGGATCTTCATTGATAAAGGCAAAGGTCCAGAAAAAGAAAAGTATGAAGCAAAAATAAAGAGATTAAAACTTAAACGTGTGGCATTTCGTACTATGTGGCTGTCAGCTGATGATTATCCATTATTACTAGGTATCGTGTTCCTTATTTTAAAAGTGATCTTGTACAGTGGTGAAATTCTTCATTTAACAGTTTTTGGTCATTTCAGGATCAGCTGATCTAGGTGTTTGTCTGCATACTTCATCATCAGGATTAGACCTTCCAATGAAGGTATCCGTTATTATATGTTGGTGTACAAAGCAAATGTCTTTACATGGTTATACTGAAATCCTCCCTGTAATAATCTGCTGTTTTGAATCATTTAAGGCATTGCACTCATAAGCATCTAGGGCATCAAACTGTGATAAATGTTATGTTGATTAAATGGGTTTTCCTATAAAATTATTGAAATTCTTGAATTACATCAGTATTCATATTAAATTATGTGCTTCATTGGAATATATATCCATCTGTGCAGTCTAATATTAGTTGTGTCATAAAAAGATGATGTTATTTCTTCTATACATGTTCTGGCTAATTTAATTCAGTTTTACTGAGTGGGCTATAACTGCTTATATTTCTTGAGGTTTTTGAATTTTCCATTTTCTGTTAATTATGTACCATGAGATAGGTTCAGGTTGGATCCAGCTTTGAATCTCTAATGTTTATTTATGTGTGATATTACATTCTAGTTCTTCTTCCTCTTAATTTAATGTCTAGAACTCTGTATTGGAAATTGGATATTTTCATACCTAAACCGTAGGCTTTTTAAGAGGATGTCAGTTTTACATTGAGTATGACGCATTTTGGAAGGTTTATAAAACAACTACTGAATCTTATTAAATATTTTGTTTATTTCTAAATTTTTATTTTTTTTAACTGTACCAGGTTGTGGATATGTTTGGCTGTGGGCTGCCTGTTTGTGCTGTTTCGTACTCTTGGTAAGCTAAATACATCCTTGAAAATTGTCTGTGACTTCTTATGAAGTCCAAAAAAAATTTTCTTTTCATTTGAGTCAAAGCTTTTACCTTCTTGAAGCATTAAAGAACTGGTTAGAGTTGACAAAAATGGTCTTCTCTTCTCTTCTTCATCAGAGCTAGCTGATGAACTTCTGGTATGTCTGTTAATAATTACAAGCTTCAACTTTCTTATTTGAATGTGGATACACAGTTTAAGATTGCTGTCGGTTAA